AACGTGGCGACCACCTCCATCTCCAGTCAGATCACGATCTGCGGAGATTTGCACGGAAAGCTTGATGATTTGCTAGTCATCTTTCATAAGGTACGTGTTAGAAATACGTGTGTTATGCACAGTGAATTGAACACCGGATATAGAGAATTTTATGCAAAGAGCGAATTTCTTTTGACTTAAAAATGCAACGGCATTGAAATATTTTAAATCGAAAATAATCTAAACACACTCCAAACAACCTAAATGTACTGGTCGTTATCAAATCTCAGTTTTTACTTTATTTCAATACGTTTTATAAAATCGTTATTTGTTTACTCGAATATTTAAATTATTCACCTTATCCGACCGGTTGTTTCATTTTAATATATCGCCGTGCATGAGGGTTGGTGTAATCAATGGGCAACTACGCTATCTACGCACGTGTTCCATTTGGAGCACTGACGTCATATGTGACAATAGTTTATAGCGTCGCTTGGTGCGTGCTTTCTGTAAACATTCGTTACGACTTTGCGCGAAATGTAGGTCGCTAAATCAGAAATAACTAGCTTAATATTTACGGTTGCATTTAATCTAATAAATTAAAAACTGGTTTGAAATAAATGACATGGTATTAAGTAGGGTAAATGTCTAATTGATATGCCAATTAGGGATTGACAATGATATAGTGAAGAGTTTTCGCACCTTCTTTTTCGCGGGGAAATCTTACGTCAAGCGCTACTGTATACGTCATAAAAAAGTACATATTAAAAACTCGATAGTCCATGACTTTTTCTTTTAAAACCATTTTATTTATTTTTATAAGTGCCAAAAATTTATGCAAAAGAAAATTACGATATAATATGTGTTTTTAATAGGAAAACAATTGAATTGAATACCAAAACGCTGCTAGCTACATTATCGTCAATAAAGATTACAGATATAGTATTACGTATGTCTAATTAGGGTAACGGGATATACATTGACAGGTAATCAGATATTTTTCCTTAATCCTTCGACGTATTAATGCGTCTTAATCTAATTTGCGAGTGTGGTAGCTACACTGCGCTGGATTATTTACCGTGTGCGAGTTCGTTTGAATAATTCAGTGATAGATGTTTTGTATAGGGAAACTATATTTATCAGGATATCTAATACAGTATCTGAAAGATGTTTGAATTATTAAATACCTTTCCATAACTGTATGAAAAGGAATATTGAATTTAATTCATAGACGCGTTGGCACAGTTGAATAATATTTTGTATGAGATAAATCATTTAATTGATTGCTATAATTAAATGAACGACAACATGGAGGGAGCGCACGCGTCATTCAATTTATAGACATCCTGTAGTTTTATTGATTGACCGATTGTTTGTTTAGTCGGAAGACGTAAATTAATCCATATGGTACTCATCAAATTATTTGCAATTAACCAACTAAAATATTTTATCGCTATTAAATTTAGTTAAAAATTAGTTGTTGCCCGCGACTTCGTCTACGCAATATTAAGATAAAAAAGTAGCCTATAATTTGCCTATGTCAGCTACCCTTTAGTGAAAGTCCGCTCGAAATCGGCCCAGCTGTTTCGGAAATCACCAGGAACAAACGCGGCTTGCGGACAGACAGACAGATAGACTTTCGTTATCAGCAATGCAAATACATTATCATCCCAAAATCTGGAATTATTCTTTTGATGTAACAAGCAGACACTCCAATTTTATTATATGTATATAGATATAGATTTAGATAAATGTTAAATGTAACGTATTGCAGTGTTAAAGACATAAAGTTTGTTTATACTGATTATGAGCATTATAGCCAGGTATATCTTGTTTTTAAGGATTCGTGCACATACAATTTAGATAGTATCAAGAAGGTTTTACCCAACTAGCCGAGGTTTATTTTATCGTAATGCGCATAAATCCGTCTCGTGACCCAAATTTAAATATATCTGCAGTTCGTGACAAGATTTAGAATGTATCTAGAATTATTGAGATAATCTGAAAATTAAATCTAGTCAATTACACTTAATTAATAGCGAATGAAAATTTAAATGTCATTTTATATTTCAATTAAATAAGAATTTTAAATTATCTGTGCAGAACGGGCTGCCTTCGCCAGAAAATCCATACATATTTAACGGAGACTTTGTTGATCGCGGCAAGAAGAGCTTGGAAGTGCTTCTCCTTTTGCTGGCTTGCATGTTAGCTTTTCCTGGAGGAGTTTATTTGAACAGAGGCAACCACGAGGATCTCATTATGAATTCTAGGTAACAAACTTTGAACTATTCAAGTATTCATAGTCCATTTACTTTAATAGAATAGATTTATGTCATATATAAGAATATTACACTGATATTTGCTTTTAGGTACGGTTTTATAAGAGAAGTTCATCAAAAATATCGAGTGAGTATAAAATGAAATAAAACGTATTATGATTTTACATGCATTTGTTAATAATAATGGGGACATACATCAGAAAGTGTTAAGATTGAAAGTGGATGGCTACAAAGGTAGAGGAAGATCGAAGAAAGTATGGATGGATTGTGTAAAAGAGGATATACTTAAGAGAGGAGTGGTTTCAGATATGACGGCTGATAGAGATGTATGGAAGAGCAGCACATACTGTGCCGACCTCCGTAAGGGATAAGGGCAAGTGGATGATGATAATGCATTTGATAATAATAAATGGTTTTGTACACAGCACAACGCTGAGCGTTTACTGAAGCTCATAGAAGGGGTGTACCGCTGGTTGCCCTTGGGGACCATCATAAACAACCGCGTGTTTGTGGTGCACGGAGGAATCTCGGACACCACCGACCTTGATATGGTGCGCAGCCTTGACCGTGATAAAGTAAGTCTTCTATATTTGAAAGTATTCACATTTCTGCGACGTAACTGTACCTATATTGTTTTTATAAGGATGAGCAATTTGTTTCATTTTTAACCTCGGGATTGTCAACTTTAATAAGTGATCTGATTTAGTTGTAGAGATAAAGATAGCTTTATTTCCCTTATAGCAAAAAACAACAATTTTTTACATATTTAGACGTGTATACTAAAAACTAAACTAACTACTAAAAACTAAAAAACGTGGAGTAATCTGATAAACTGATAATGATAAAACTAATAAAAATTTAGAAAATAAAAATGTATGTAATTGTTAGTACGGTTAGTGTTCTTAAAATATTTCATGGAAAAATATTAGTGTCTGTTAACTCATCTTTTGTACAAGGTCCGATTTTGTTGTAGTTTATTGTTAAAGATTAAGCCCCTTAATATTATCACAACCACAATTAGTAATTGAAATTATTTTTTTTTAGTACGTGTCACTTCTTCGACCGCCTGTAGCAGAGGGTGGAGCACCTGGCGCTGAACAAATCGATAAAGTGGAGTGGAAACAGGTAAGACATATTTCATTATTTTTTCTTTTTATTCTAGTATGCAGAACACTGTAAAAATAATCACAGCCTGTAACAAATTTGCGATGCAAGTAATCGAATGGAAAATATATGAGTTTTTTAATCATTACTTTCGATACATCGGTATTACAATTTTAAGGTCTATAGATATGTAACTGTAAACTGGGATGAGAATGTTTCATTGTTATTTTAAAATTATAAAAGCTAACCTATAAAGCTAGTCCATAAATCAAAATGACTAACGGTTTTAGATAACATAAAAATGATTTCGAAATAAAAAACAGAATTTTAAACCCCCATATTTATGTATAAAATTATTTTTATCTTTACCGCAACTGCCTTGCCTGTAAATTTAATATAAATATTATTGCCTGTAAAATATTTTAATTAAAATCGTTTGTAACCTGTCCGATGTTCGTTTGGTTTTAATTGATTAACCGCAGTGCAGCGTATAATCGCAGCGGCATTTAATTCAATTTTCATACAAGTTCATCGTATAGACGTCATCCGGCGTCGGATTAATGGAATTTGCTCGGCAAATTGATAGTTTCTGAAGTTTGCTCGCTCACCGCCTGAGTTCCTCGTGTTGCTCGTGTATTACAGTTAAATATTAGCTCGTAACTATGTTGTTGTATCTAGTCTAGTTAATTTTAACCGGTTTATGACGTAATGTTAATTAAATGGCCGAGATGACCACTTTGCGGTTTATTTTCACTGTGTTAATTCTAGTGATACAAATATAAATGACAAGAGACAGCCGTCGTTGCAATTAATGTAGAAAATTCCATCTTGTATATAGAACCCACCTAGGCGTTTAATCCGTATTTATTTTACGTTTGTGTTTTAACAGAATATTAGAATTTAGACCTAAACTTTAACATTTCATATGTCATGCAGACTTGTCAACGAAAACCTTCTCCCTTGTGTATCGTAAAAGTCTTGTAATAATAATAACATATTCGAAGAAATGTAACATTACATTATGTGTTGGCGTCACCTTGCACCATACCATGCCATCCCATGGGTTAAATATGAGCTAATAACGCACCAGTATATTATTTAATGAATAGTAAATATTTTTATGTGACTGTTATGAGCCGTATAAATAAAGAATGATGTAATGTAATGGAATCGATGGGCGGGCAATTCATCAAGTTTGGTTATTCGATGCTTCTTTGTTTTATCTCCTTCAAAATATTAAGTAAACAGCATTAAAATATAGTTAGTTTGTAATCGATCTTGCGCACGAACTTCACATTATTCTAAGAATTTTGTTTGCTTTAGGTTTTCGATATTCTATGGTCGGATCCTCAAAGTATTGGTGGATGTGTAGCGAATGCGCTCCGCGGTGCAGGCACTTACTTCGGCCCCGATGTCACCGTTTCTTTTCTAAAGAAGAACAAATTGAGCTTCATTGTCCGAAGTCACGAGTGCAAGCCTGGCGGCTACGAGATCCTGCATAATGGGAATGTAAGACATTAAATTACTTAATTTTTCGCTTTATTGACTTCTCTGGTATCAGTTGCCTAATCTCTATTTCGTCACTACAACCTTTGAAATTGAATCGTTGTTCCTTTCATAGGTGATAACAATTTTCTCTGCATCAAATTACTACGAGCTGGGCTCGAATAAAGGCGCATATCTGAAGCTTTGCGGCAATTCGCTGGAGCGTCAGTTCGTACAGTATACTGCGGCCGTGTCACGCACTCGCCGCCTCACGTTCCGTCAACGAGTCGGCCTCGTCGAGTCCTCCGCCATGCGAGAGCTACACAGCCATATTGTAATGGCCCGACGATCGCTTGAAGCGACCTTCCGGAGTATGGATTTGGATCAAAGTGGTACGTTTTATTTATAGTCTGCACACCCTGACATCTTTTTAAAGTTCATTGTTTATTGTTTCTTTACATATTCTGTTTCTTTGTGTTTCGCAGATGTGCGAATGATATACGAATGACTTCTTGTGATGTTTAATTACTGCATTCCATAGAGTCTGAGATAAGCAATATTTTAACGTGTTTAAATTCGTAAATTCCTCTGCTTAGCCATTCGTAATAAAAGTGTGCTATGAGTCTTTGAGACGAACCAACTGGATATTTGACTTGTGATCTTTTATTACTCAGTTTGCTTTCGAGTTAATTCCAACATATGTACCCCAGGTTTTATATCAATAAGTGATTGGTGCTACGCAATGGAGGAGACCACACACCTCGGTCTCCCGTGGCGGATGCTGAAAGACAAGCTCGTGCGCACCGACCCAGATACACGGCTCGTCCGATATATGGATACATTTGATCTGAATACTAATGTAAGATTTTAAATCAAAGAAAACACTGAATGTTTTTATTGATTTAGATACAGTAGCTTAACAATATTGTTTGGTTACAGAGAGGAGGCCGAAAGGCAGACACGCAAACAGTTGTAGAGACGTTATACAAAAACAAAAGAAGCTTGGAAGCAATTTTCAAAATTCTCGACAAAGATAATTCAGGTAAAAATGACGAATATTTCTGTTATATTTAGTTCTTTTGGTGCTTCAGTTACATATACTTCTTTAGTATAATATAAATTGTTAAGTGTATTAGATATTGACAATATGTATTTGGTAAAATAAATTTATGTTTGCAGGCTACATAACTCTGGAGGAGTTTTCCGAAGCATGTCAATTATTGGGAAAATATATGCCAAATCCGATGACTCAAGAGCAATTGGTTGATATATGCCGCCTGATGGACATAAATAAGGACGGGCTCGTCGATTTGAATGAATTCCTGGAGAGTTTCAGACTTGCTGAGAAAAGTCTTCACGAGGAAGAGAACGAGTTGGCTGAACTCCAAGCCACCTGACAGGAACTTGACCGCCTCCCGAGCAGGACGGCGGTCGATAAAGATGAAACTGGTGTCGAAATAGAGTTGGTGAGAGTTGAAGAGGAAGGAAGCAACGAAGTCTTAAGAAGAACTAACGGTCAACCTCATTTAACTGGTGCATGTGTTGCACGATACTTAAAAGATACGGATGAAATACAATTAATTGACAGCGATGAAGTTCCAAGACGACCAGGATTATTAGAGAGTGACATGTAAACAGTTGGAGTTACGATAGAAATTAATGTACTAACTACCATTAAGCTTGAATTCTTTCAGAAGTACATTTTAAATCTTGATTAGAGATATCGCTAATATGTATTTTTAGCATAACAGCATAATTACATCCTACTTATAAAAGTTATTTCTCATCTATTAAAAAGAAAATGCTGTTTTATTGTGAATGTGAATATGAAAATTGCATGAAATGAATGATTTCAATTTAACAATTACGATTTCTTGATATGCATTTTATAATTTTTAAGTAACTGTACGTATAATTGTAGATTTTAAAAAGATATTCTTAAACTCATTGCAAATTAAAATAATCAAGTCTTATTATTAAATTTAAGTACATATTGTTCATTCTCTACTAAATATTATTATGCATATGGGTCAATTACAGAAGTCACATTTTTATTTAGTTCATTATAAACATGTACAGTTGCGCAAATTGGCGGTATTCCACTTTCAAAAAAAAATCTTTGACGCTTGTATTTGCACAAGAAGACAAACTCCACCTCTTCTTATTAATACGAGCAGATATAGCAGTGATTTTCGCAAACGACAGAATAGTACTAAAAAGCAATTAGCTGAGTATTACTGACCTGATTTTGCTGCGTCGTATTAGTGCTGTGCGTCGTCGTTTCAACGCGTACAAAAAGTTTAAACGACTAGCTTTTAAAGTGGAACTCCGCCAGATTCAATCAGGACAATCATTCAAGACCTACAAATAGAATTTATAATAAATATTCAACCATAAAAAACAAAATTAAAAAGGAATATAAGTATGTTAATTGGTGCCAATTTTATTAGAACTATTAAATTATTAATTCGTCTAAAGTATATTATTATGTCAAATATGTATGTTTACAAAAGATAAATAGTTCAGAAGAACTCAGTTCATCTGACAATGAACAATGGATCGGGAACAATAACAATTATTTAAGTCACAACGTATTTGTTCTGTGAGTCATTTTTTATCTAAAATCAATTAAATGTCACTTAAAAGTTATAATCATATATGATATGTAGTTCCTCCTTTATTTTAAAATAAATACTTTAGCATATAAAAATTTAACTCTATACATTTTTCAAATCTTTCATATTATCTTTAGTCTATTTAAAAAATTTAAATCTTTGTAATATTAAATATTTTCAAATATAACTATTTTAGCATGTGTCTAGTACATAGAGTTTTTTAAATTATACATATCTATTTAATCCAAAATATTAATCATTCCAATATATCTTTGTCATAAATATTTCAAATTAAAGAGTCTATTTAAATATATGATATTTCAATTTAATACATTAGACAAAATTTTCTATCATTAGACGTAGAGAAAAACGTAATTTTTTTTAAATATTCGTAGATGTGCAGATCTTTTTAAACGCGCTTTGTTACGTAATTACAGAAATCTTTAAAAATACATCGGATTGTGCTATTTTAAACTGTCCATTAAAATGTGATACAGCTATACGGTAGTTTCATTTCACCTTTAAATAAAAAAACACCAAATTTATGCAAACATAGGCAATATTTTTTTGTTGGTTTTGTTTAAATGTACAACTTTTTTGACAATGCAGTGTTGTACAAATAAAATATCGTTTATTTCGCTGTCAAAAAAACGGGCAAAGTAAGTTTTAATGCTCTAGTTCGATACTTTTGTTAAATTGTCAGACTCAGCAATGTTAAACAAAACCCTACTCGAAAACTAAGTACGTGTTTTATGTACAAATATACTTTGGCAAGTTAAGTACGGCCGCTATACTGTTTTCATAGATATTAAACATGTTATGTTATGTCACAAACTTCTATACGAAAATAATTTTATTTACGCCTGTAACACACAAAAGCGAAAGAGAGTCGGAAAGCGCAGCTTTATCATACTTCATATTAATATTATAAATGCGAAAGTTTAGATGGATGGATGGATGGATGTTTGTTAGAGTTTGTAGCCTAAACGACAGAACGGATTTCGATAAAATTTGGTATAGATGTAGAGGATAGTCTGGAAGAATACATAAGCTACTTACTTTTGTTTTTATTAAATTCCACGCGGACGGAGTCGCGGGCGAATGCCCGTATGATAACAATCTTAATTCATACGTCAAACAGTTTATCAGAATATATTATTAAAGGATGCATGTTTTTTTTTTATCAATGTACTACTTAAGTAATTTATAGCATAGTTTCTGGATAGCTTTCTTCGGCTGTGTGCTACAGGCTAAAGGTTTAAAACGGTGAGCATTGACTGACATAAGTCTGCGACTAAATTAGCCCACACATCTGCTGATTGCGCACAGACATCATAAAAGAATAATAGCGTTGTGTTATTTTATAGAACGTTTTTATTTTGTTATTTTTAAATATGAATTAATGATTTTATCTCAAATAAAAATAATCGCTCTAAACTGAATTTATTATGGTAGTCGTGACTTTAACGTTCATTGCAATTAAAACTTCACAACAACAACACGAGCCTAGTAAAGCGGTAAGAATTTTTTTTCTCTACCACTTAGTATATCTTTTTAAATTTTAATTAGCTACTAAAATAACAGTAAAAGGTCTGTAGTGTATTAATTAATTAGCTTTCCAGTGCAGCTGACGGCTTACGTTACGTTTCCCACCCCCGGCTGTCTCAGAGCTGAGACATTAGCAAGTCATTGCATTAATGGACAGAATGTGTTAATTTTAATAAATTAAAATTTAGTCTCTACTTTACTAGGACTTAACTACTTTGGTACATAAATACTTCAAAAACTATTTTACAAAACTTAGTGGTTATTTGCATAGCAGTTTTGTTGAACTAATTGAATTTAGAAAGATAATTTACAGAAAATAGATTCAAAACGTAAAACTGCAATTTCAGTTGCATTAAGAGTGCTTAAGAGTTAAGTGCATAAAAGTCTATCGTTTAACAAACCACGCTACCGGGAAATGTGACCGAGACTTGAAGACTTATTAAATAGGTTTTAATAAAATTAGTTTTTTTAAAAGCCGAGTATGTAAAGATTTTAATTTATAACTGCTGTTTCATATACGTGGTATTTCTATGGATGTTTTTAATAAAAAGTGAAAAATAACATTCAAAATGCACGTCAATGATTGAATGTACCATTTGCAAAACAAAATGACTACCACCAGTGTGGGCGAGCGTTGAAACAAATGTATGACACTTGTAATACACTGTAGTACACAATATGAACGTTCGGTGCCGGCTAAAACCAACCATTTGTTTTGTCTGTTCTGCTCGAGTTTGTTTTGAAGAGGAGTATTAGATGCTGAGGAATATTGTACATTGTCTAGTTAAGTTTCATTCTATGCTTTTAAAATAATTTTGATGTATGCTTATAACGTAAATTATATTATAGTTATTAATAAAGAAATGACATATGGTAGAGTTATTTGGAGGACAAAATCCCGTTGTACCCTATGGGAGTAGGATAAGGTGGATGACGACGATGGTGATGAATTAAAAAAGTGCCATAACCACAACAAAGTCAGCCTTACTATTTGTGCCCTTGTCGACATAGAAAGGTTTACTTTTTATTTCCTATATAAGACGGTGAATCATCACCATCATCAATGAACTATCATCTGTCGAGACTTACTTTTATAGCTTGAATTTGTTTTCTCGATTAGTAATCGAGGCCTTGATATATGTTAGCCTATAACGCAGTACTCGAATATCTATCGATTGATATATGACTTGAAATTAGACATTACATGTTACATTTATGTTGATGTCATGATTGATGGCACCCATATTGAACAGCTAGGATATGTGATCCATCAGTATCAACAATCAATCAAATATTAAAATACGATGCCAGGGATACAATATTATCTGACTGTAGATAAGAATTGTGCGTTCTTTTGGCCACATACTCAGGTCATGGTTGGTTTTAAATTGTAGTTCAAACAATTAGAGAATACGTCAATTTATGTCGTAGGAATTAAACATGATTTAGCAGTATTTTCTGTTAAATACATATTGTTTAAAAAAATACATTACTAATTAGACTAAATGTCACTTATTTTAGCAAAGTACGAAAGCCAAACAACCTGAATTAAACGAACCAATATTTACTGTGCGTCAATTGAAACTTATTCCATAAGTATTTTCCATAAGTTATGTTTGTGTTAAAACAAATGTGAGCAATTAATTAAAACAAATATCGAAATTAACTCGAAACGAAAACTTTGTGCTTGAACAATTTAATCTAATTAATATTTATGAAGCTGCTACAGTTATTTTTTGAGTGTCGGATTTATCGTAAAACATGACTTTGAAGTCTAACAAGCTTTTGTTTACGTTCCAGCTGTGAAAGTCGGTAAGGATACAAATGTACTACATGTTCAACAATAAAATCTTCGTTTTCGTTAACTAAAACTAATATAGTTTTACAATAAATAAACTACGCGTTCTCCTGCGTCGACTAGTAGGTAAATGATGTGAAGAAATCTACACGGCTCATTGGGTTTTAACCCTTTTTACGATACAAAACAAAGCCAGTGGCCGTGTGTGTATATCATTGTTTAATTTATATTACTCACGATTTTAAACGAATAGGGCTTGTTAGTTTTTTTAGATAATTCACGGCTTCATCAAAGCAGAAAAGTCATCACCACTTCATAAAACTTAATAAAAAAAAACCTAAAGTTTCCATAGAAGTACTTCGACGTGTTTTTTTTATAAAGTCAACAATATGTTTTAACATACGTAGATAAGTGCTTGTACAGTGTTATATTTATGAGGTTTTACGTCCGAGGTTCGAGGAGTTATGCGCGGATTACACTTAGCCCGTCCAGTTGGTCAGTAGGGCTCTGATTGGACTATCAATTAACTGGCAGAGTATGAACGCTAACAGGCACCAATGATTGTCGCCCGCCGTTGCAAATGTCCAACTGTACTGGCAAAGTGTGAACCGGTTATTAGTACAGAAATCAAGTGACTCATATTTTATACGCTGGTATTATTTGACGTCGACTTTTAGGCAAAGGTTATTGTAACGGATTTAGAATTTCTCTATTAATTTAACGTTTCTTTTTGTAAGGGCTAGTTTCATATGGTTTTAGAGATAAGCATCGTTCTATTTTTTACCTCGAGGTCAACATCCGCTTTTATACCCTTTCACAACACAATTAACTATGCATTTATTAAAGAAAGTGATTATGTCGGTCAAACTTAACCGTTCTATTAGGAAATATATTTTATTTGCTAACCTAAAAATGTTCATTAAATTTTGCGGTAAATTGGAGAAAGAGAGTAATTATAATAATGAACTAAAATTGAAAAATTTATC